GAGGGGGAGGAGGGGGAGGAGGGGCGACAAGTTTGGCGTCGTCCTGCTGTTGCTTTTGCTGTTGATGCTGGAGGAGGGGGGGTACATATCAGTGCAACGCCAATGTGTTATGCTGATGTTGGTGGTGGTGTTGCCATAGTGGCGGTGGTAGCCACTGCTGTTGGGCGGTTGCTGTTGTTGCCATTCTTGACGTTCCATCTCAGCGGTGTCTGTGGTGTTGTGGTTTCGACGTGGAAGTGAAGTCGACTTCGTCCTTGGAGCTGGGGGCGAAGTGTTGGGAAACTCACCTGCTTGCTTTGCCTGTCACGCGGACGATGATGCCATCCTCAGCGCGCGTTTTATTGGGCTGGTAAGGACGTTTTTGAGTGTCTTTAAGAGTTCTAACAACTCGACCGGCCATTGTGTTATGAGACTGGAGCCGCTCCCCGAACGGTTCGAATGGAACCAATAGCGTGGCGTCCAAGATGTCTTGACCAGGCTGGAAGTCGTTGGTTGTTGCGGCCGCCGACCGCGGTGTGTGTGGCGACAGCTGGAAGTCGATGAGGACGATGAACTCGTGCAAGGAGGAACACGGCCAGTTCTTCTCTATCCTACAGACGTGTCTGCTTCCTGTTCTTGTCTGTTCTCATGCATTGTTTTTTGCTTTGGTATGTCGACGAAAACATCAGGTGGACAACGTGTACGGCAAGATGAAGCAGAGGGGCGCGGAGGATGTCTTGGGAGACATCGCCAAGCAGGACCGCAGGATCAACCGAGCAAGACAAAGCATGACCCCAGCGGTGCGCTGTGTATTGTTTTGGCGGGCGGTTTGTTCCCCACGCCCGATACTTGGTTGGCTGCGTACCATTCACTTTTTTTTTTTTTTTGGTTTGGAGTCCCCTTGCGAGTGATGATCGTTTGCTTTTGCTCTCTGTTGACTTTCCCATTGTTACTATTAATATTTGCTGCTTGTTGAAATCTGCGATCGGGGCATCGCTATTTGATGCATGAAATAATGAAATTGCCCCCCCCCCCCCCCCCCCCCCCCCCCCCCCCCCCCCCCCCCCC